TCCACAAACCTAATGGATGAGTTCTAGTACTCAAAAGAAAGCTAAAAATATGATCTACAAGTCTCTTGTTTGTGTCAGAGTGAGATTACACTTGTATCTTGAGATATGTGGTCTTGAAGTCAGGCACTAAATAGGGGATTTTACACTGACAACCTCTAAAACCCTAAGTTAGTAACTTCTCACACTCTTAATTCTCCTTGATTTGATATTGAAATAAAATTCTAGATGTCTCAACTCAACTATCCATGACTATAATGACTTGGAATTAAGTCTCACACACCTTCAAGTCCCCAGTTGACTTTGCACTAGGTAGATGAAACCCTAGGGATGCAACCCTTGAGTACAACCTCTTGCATATGATACAACAACTTAGATGAGCTCCACAATGGCTTCAAAAGCCCTCAATGAGCTTCTCCATCATCTCATATTCATATTCATGAGCTTGTAATCCTCAGATGATTTGAACTGAGCCCTCTTATTTGAGCTAGGAATCCTTGATAACCTTCTCTTGAGATGCACACTTCTCTTGATCCCCTGCAAACAACCATGCTATGCAATGCAAATATTCTAGAGAAATGAAATGAAACACAAGCCAAGTAAAGAAAAAGGTTGGGCAATTTTTTGGGTACAACACTCAGCAACATCAAACTCAAGGAATTTTGCATGCATGGACTCTAAAATTTTATTACATCTACCATGACAAAAGAATCTGTATCTTTTAGATCGATTCGAATATCCAATAAAAAAACAACGACTTGTTTTTGGGTTAAGCTTTATCTCAAAAGGATTATATATTTTAACCTCTGCAAGACAACCCCAGACACGAAGATGGTTCAAACTGGGTTTTCTACCTGTCCAAAGCTCAAAAGGTGTTTTTGGAACTGATTTACTAGGAACTCTATTAAGTATATAGAGGGTTGTTTTCAAAGCGTCACCCTATAAAATTTCTGGTAAATTGCACTTATTCATCATGCTTCTCACCATATCCTTAAGGGTGCGGTTTCGCCTTTCGACTACACCATTTTGTTCGGGAGTACCAGACATGATGTATTATGGAACAATTCCAAAATCTTGTAAGTATTTTGCAAAAGGCCACATGAGAATCATATTTACCATAATACTTTCCACCACAGTTAAAACGTACCACCTTTATCACTTTTCCTAGTAGCTTTTCAACCTGAGTTTTAAAGATTTTAAACTTTAAGTGCTTCTGATTTTTCCTTAATCAATTAGGGATAGCCATACCGGGAAAAATCATCAATGAAAGTGATAAAAGATTTATTACCACAAATAGTGGGAGAAAGGGGTTCGCTAATGTCCGTATGAATAATTTCCAAAAGGTCTGAACTTCTTGTTGAACCTTTATTATTGTTCTTAGTAAAATTTCCTCTAATTTAATCCACTCAAATCCCTAAATCAGTGAAATCTAAGAAAGGTAAAATATCATCTCTAATTGATTTTTCAACTCTTTCTTTGGAGATACGTCTTAAACGTTTGTGCCACAACAAAGAAGATTTTTCTCTAGTTTTATACCTTTTAAAAATGGAGCTTTCAACATTCAAGGATGATAAAATCATATCACAATCCAAAGATAACTTATATAAATCATTCAACAAGATACCATTACCAAAAACTTGAGAATTCAACATCAAATTTATTTTTCCATTATAAAAGGTAAATTGAAATCCAAACTTATCCAAACTTATCCAAACAAGATACTAAAATCAAATTCCTCCTAAACGAAGTTACATAAAATGTATCTTTCAAAACAAGTTCAAACCAGTTCCTAAAACTAAGCTAACATCTCCCACTAGCTTCACCATGACTTCAAGGTCATTTCCTACCCTAAGTTTGTTTTCTCTCAAGTTTGGTCTCCGCTGGTTTTTGAAACCATGTAAGGACACATCAATATGGGTTGTAGAACCACTATCAAGCCACCAAGAATTAATGGGAACATGAACTAAGTTAGACTTAAAATAGACAAAAGTTAAATGATTACCTCCAAATTTGTTCTTGTTGTCTAACCAAGCTTTAAAAGCATGACAATCAGTTTTCTTATGCATCTTTTCCTTAAACCAAAAGCACCAAAAGGATTTCTTAAAAGCATTAGGCTTGAGACTTTCCTATATTATGGTGTTGGCCATTACCAAGTTTCCTAAATTCAGGATGCCTATGAGAAGCACTATGAGTATTTTTCTTATTTTTCCAAGAACTCTCACCAGAATGGGATTTATCATGAAAAGTTAGGAAGTCTAAATCACTTCTTCCTTCTTGAGTTTCTCTTCTTCAGGTACACACTTGGCAACATCAGTAAGATATTCTTTAGCATTCTCTTTCTCAGGAAGTCCAGTTATCAAACGTTCAGAAATGGTTCTCTTCATAAAACGCAAGCTAAGTCGGTCACTCCTCTCCCATTTAGCTAATTTTTCTTTCTCCTTAGTTGTACTATGATAATTGATCACATGGTTGATTTCACGTAGTGCCATGTTAAGATCAACAATCCCTAATGAAAACTCTAAGACTTTCTTCCATTTATTAAAATTAGACCCATTCAGGATCTCAATGGAAGCAGAACAATTGTTCACAGAGAAGGTCATTGTTGAGACAAAATAGGAATGCATAAGAACAAATAATAAAGGCAAGATATAGTTTTAATGAACAAAGGCTATCATGAAAATGTCAACATTATCACACAATCCCCTTTGGGTGAAATGCGCAAAACCCAGATTACAACCATGGTCAGAACCTCATATGAGTTACTAATGAGCATACACTGAGTTTGGAAATCTATCTCCTTTGGGTAGATAAATTTTATAAACAAAAACACATCTAATAACTTCGTCTACGAATTTTAAGAATAAGCTACTCAGTAAGCATACATTGAGTTTAAAAATTTATCTCCTTCAGATAAATAAATCTCTTGTACTCAAGCATCTCCAATAGCTATATTCTTAATCAAGCACAATCTCTACGTACAATTGTCCACCTTTGAGAAGACAATCATAGTAATGACTTAAAACCATTCCGCAAACTACAAAAAGACTTTTATAAATTAAAACGAGTGATCTCACTTTAATGGTAATCACACATAATAATTTACAAAATTTCTTGCATAAGAATTAAATTTCTCTTGCCCAAAGAAAATGTCATAAACCAATCATAAATTTAAATAATATAATATTCTCAATCAATTTTGTCTTCAACACTATCAATCTCAATATTATAAAAATATTATATAATATTTTAAAATATTTGACAAAAACAAATATTTTACAAATTTATATAAACTAATATTTATTTAATAAAATGTCTAACACAATACAATTAAAAAATAATAATTTAATACATAATTTTATATATAAATTCAATTAATTTAATATATAATTTAATATATAGTTTAATATATGTTACTCGTGGGTTTCCAATTCTCGCTAGAACTGTATTTGAAAACGGAATACAAGCTGCAACTCATCACTTTCACGAAAGAGTTTTCATATTCCATGGAGATAAGGTTGGTTTATTAGGCAAAAAGAAATCTGCTCTCCTATTTTTCTTATTGGGACGGTACTGTTTTTACGAGTGGAATTGACGCAGCTTTTAATTCTCATAATAAGAACGAAGCTTATACTTTTAAAGGAATATTCTATGTACGTATCAATTTTAACCCACTGCCGTAAATTAATTAAATTTTATAAGTTCTGTTTATATTTAAGAAGTTGTTAGATTTCGTGTAAATAAACTCATTAAACCTAATTGAGGGGATATACATAATCCAAATATCTACGGTTGTGCTGTTTCTAATGAACTAGACATCCTGAGTTGCTTCAAAGTTTAATTAAGTAGTTACTGGAATTGGTTATTATGGCCATTAGATATAATAACAAAATAACAGCAATATAACTGAAACATGTTAGCCAAGTCGATGTCGTTAATATTTAGATTCAATTGAATTGGATTTAACCGTACGGTATAATATCTATAGGCTTGAAAATTGATTGTGGGATTAGTTTAAAATTGAACGAAAACCCTAAATTTGATCACATATTAACTATAAACAATTAAGTTCTAATTCATATAATTAAACCTGATACTAAATATAAGCCAAAATATGAAATTATAACATCAATACTTACTTGTTAAGTCATGATTCGAAATCTCGATAAAATAAATGACTGATTCTTCTCCTGGATTTCACACTCCCGTTCACAACTCTCATTGGAGCAAGTTGTGGAGTCTGTCAGTTATGTTTTTTATTTTTATTGTGATTACATATGAGACCTAACCATTAAAGCCCACACTTTTATCCACACCAATCAGATTTCAAATACTCAGCATTTAGTTATAAAAAAGATCACTTATGCACCCATCAGAATCACGTATCTATCAAAATTATATGTCACAAACAGAATTTCAAATGAGGGTGAATCTTTTGTACCTGAAGTTTGGTCTGGTATTTAGTTAAAATTCAATCAAATTTAAATATTAGACTTTGCCTCTTAAAATTGTATCAGAGACCAACACAGAAGCACAATTGTGATGAGAGAATTAGATGAGATGGCTGAAGTTTGGGAGCAGTCTTGGTTGTGATAGATGGTGATCTGAGGTTGACAAACATTGCTTCTTAAAAAATAAGGAGATGATTTGACGTTGATATAAAGATCAACAACTTTAAAATTTCCATTGTTTCTCTGATCTGAAACAAAGTTTCAATGAATTTAATAAGAATTCTACAATGATTTTAATACAGTTGGTTGCTAAATCCACAAGGTAAGCATTTTTCTTCTGTCCATTGGTGTAGTCCTTCAAGTTGAAGCTAGTCAGAACCAATTTAATTTTTATAAACTTCATTTGAGTGTCCATGGTGAACCAATGCCACCAATTGTGTAAAGCATAATTAAGCCAGGTTTCTTGATGCTTCTTTATTGCTCTTTCTGAATACTTGGAGAGTAAATAGAAAAACTAGATTCTAAGGCAGAAGAACTAACTGTGTATCTTTCCCTTTAAAAGCCTATTGGTCCTAAACCTGAATTAACAAAAATCAACAGTGTCATCAATAACAGAAAAAATATTATAGTAGCGTATTTAATTATTGTATGTTTGAATTCCCGATAGATCACTCATTATGGCTTTGCAATGCTCATGCATGTGATTTTGTTGAAACTGAAAAGTTTAGTTTTTGCAATACTGTGATTTTGTTAAATTCACTATCAGTCCCAACTTCCACTTGTAAAATTTGAAATGATTGACCTTTTTTAGTACCTGAGCTAGGCATGGGCTTTCTAGGCATGATGGGCATGGGCTTTCTAGGCATGATGGGCATGGGCTTTTTAGGCATGATGGGCATATGATTTCTAGGCATGGGCATGGGCCTTCGTAATGGTTGTTGTAATTCCATACGGTCAACCACAACAGCATTGGATGTTAGAAATGTCTTGGCCACAGAAGCCGCATTCTCTATACAGCATCTAACTACCTGCACCATTTTCAACATAATATATAGAACCTTCTTGAGATAGGAGGTTCCTATGAAAATCCTAAGAAAAAGATCTTCTGTAAAAGGAAATCAAATGTTTATATCACCTTTGTTGGATCCATGATTCTAGCCTTCATGAGATCCTCATAACAGTCTCTAGCAGCGTTGTAACCAAAATTCATGTTATCATTTGATAAAACCTGTGTGACATAAGATATGTTGTTGAGTTGAATTAATTACACGCTACATAAGATTGAAAATTATCAATGAATAACCAATCTCTTACAGAAAACAGTTTCTCAACATCCTCAGGACCTTATCTATGACAACATTGCCATTTACGCCAGCATTTTTAGCTATCATTCTTGTAGGGTAGCTCAAAGCTCTTTTGAAGATTTCAGCTCCAATCTACACATAACATTGCAAACAAGTTTTCCTTATTTTCCAATGAACAAAATGGCACAAACCAAAAAGAATGCTTGCCAACAGAAGGTCACTTCAGATTGAATCGTGTCCGGTGTTGGACACTGACACAACAACAACATTTTACATTCAGATTCAGTTATTCCATTTTTTCAAATTAATGCTGGTATCGATGAATCAGTGTGGTGTCTGGCATCTGTGTCGTAACTTCTGCTTCATAGATCTTTAAACATGATGATGGACAACTTAGTTGTATGAAGAAGGTAAGTTACCTTTTGCTCTTCATTGTCCAAGAGATTTTTTATGCCATCTACCTTCTTGGACAGCCTTAAAAGGCTACAGCCACCACCAACTACCACACCTTCTTCAATTGCTGCCTGAAATGATCTAAATTAGATGTTACAAACTTAACTATCAATGCTTTCAACTAACCTCATTAAAGCAAAAAGAAAAGGAAATACCTTGGTTGCATTTAAGGCATCTTCTATTCTTAATTGTTTATCTTTCAACTCAACTTGTGTTTGTGCACCTACCTATAATATAGATTTCAGGCTCTGAAGTGTAAATGAACTATACTTTAAATAGAAACAGAATTTTTAAATTCATGATATCCCAAATGAAAATAAAATGAAATAAATTTATATTACCTGAAGAATGGCGATGCTCCCTGATAATCTTGCTATCCTTTCGTTCAATATCTTCTTTTGAAAATTTTCTTTAGTATTCTACAAAATACATTTCTTCTAAAGTTATAGAATGATGAAGTGATAATTTTGAAATGGAAAAATTCTCTCAGGATCTGCACCTCAACAAGGCTCCTAAGTTGAGAAACCCTATTCTCAACTACTGTTCTAGTACTCCCATCAGTAACTACTAAGGTAGAATCTTTTGTTATGACAACCTTGGTAGCAGAACCGAGCATATCCTTGCTAGCCTTTTCTAAAGTGAATCCCATATCTTCTCTTATTACAGTACCTGAAAGTTTCAAGAATACAAAATGAATTGAATAAAGACTATGAGTAGAATCTAGTGATGCTTTCTTCCACCATGTGTTTTATCATATTTAAGCTTCTAATTAATTTGAATAATTGATCTTATACCTCCTGTCAAGATGGCAATGTCCTCTAAATAGTGACTCTTGCGCTCACCGAATGCAGGGGCCTTAATAGCAGCAACCTTAAGCACACCTCTGAGTTTATTTTTAATAACTGGAGCAAGAGCATCCTGCTCAATTCCCTCTGCAACTATCAAAATTGGATACTTCTCTTTTACCGCACTATTCAATATGTTAAGCAGCTCCTTTGGATTTTTGATCTTTTTGTCAACTAATAACAACTGCAACAAGAGATTCATGCACCTTCTAATTATTTTATAGATTTCAGGTGACGCTTTTTATACGCTGAAATTGTGTTACCTTGCAGTTGCGAAGTTCAATGGTCATCTTTCTTCTATCTGTCACGAAGTATGGAGAAAGATATCCGCGATCAAATTGCATTCCTTCTACAATCTCTAGACTATTGCCAATGCTCTTTCCTTTTTCAATTGTTACTACTCCTCTTCTTCCTACTTGTTGCAAAGCCTCAGAAATCATGTTTCCGACTACATAATCGTTCCCTGCGCTGACTGCTGCAACATCTTTAAGTTCATGATCTTTAACCTACAAATATAAACAATGTTTTGAATTCAGCAGAAGTTTCCAACTGCAAGAGAAAATTAACAGGAAGAAAAATCCATAACTAAATCATCACATGAAGCCAGTTAATTTTGTTCATGAGATGTTAGTTTAATGTGAAATAGTCATTCGTGCCACTGCAACCGATAATAACTTTGCCACTACAACCGATAATAATTTTGACCAATTTTTTTTAAAAGTGAAGCCAAATAGTTTTGATTATCATTCGAAAAATGTACAATTAGGCATGAGTTTCTTTAACAAAAATCATAGGAGAAAAAAAACAAGATTGTAGAGTTTACTTCTCTAGACATCAAACTAAGTTCAGAAACAAGCGCTATCGCTGTCTTCTCAATCCCACGGGCAATTTGGACAGGATTCATTCCAGCTGCAATAACCTACAAGAAAATGAAAAGAGCATAAAGTTCAAGAAAACCTTTTTTAATAATGTCAATATAATTTGTGGAATAAGCATAAACTGGAATGTAAGGCTTGTTATATGTACTTTTGCCCCTTCTTTGATTAAGCCATGAGCAAGAACAACAGATGTAGTTGAACCATCACCAGCTAAATCATTGGTTTTCGCCCCAGCTTGTCTCACCAATTTCACTCCAACATTTTCCAATGGATCTTCCAATTCAATCTGAAATAACCTCAGCACAAAACCATGTTATTAGACCTAACTAAAGTTATTCAACCACACAAACAATTTAGAAGTATATTAATTATGTAACATTGATATCTCAGAAAAAATGTGTTCTTATCGGTGTGCGAAACCGACACTGACACTTGTTATTACATTTAATTGATTCATTTTTTAAACCGACCCAGACACTAGTGTGAATGAAAGAATGAATAAAAAAGAAAGAAAGAAAACCTCTTTGAGAACAGTTTCTCCATCATTGACTATCTTGGGAGGGCCATACTTGTTATGCAATACAACATTTCTTCCTTTAGGTCCCAATGTAACACCAAGGAGCTCTGCCACTAACTCCACCCCTGCCTGCACCACAATCAAAAATTTACTAACTCATTCAATTCATAATTTCTTGTGAAATGAAAATAAATAAACAAAGTGAAGTTTAGAATCAATTATACAAGAAGCTTCTTTGTGGTTGAACCATCATGGTTTAAATAAAGGTCTTTAGACATAGCCCTTGTGTTTAGTACAGAAAAAGGTGGAGTTCGGGGTTTATGGATTGGCGATGGATTAGAAAAGAAGAATGTGGCAGATATTGGGGATGGAGAAGAAGATGACATAGTTCTGGTTTCCTTAACCAACAATTTAGGTTTGAGTTTTGCTCTATGCTGAGCAAGTAGTTGAAAAATGGTGCAATAGTTCAGAATTTGAAGTATAGAGAATTTTTGTGGATAAGAGAAAAGTGATCGTGTAGAGAAAAGGGAATGAAAAATATCTGTCTTTCAACTAATTTTGGCGCTATGCAAAGTAATTCTTCATTTTTATATCTTTAGGCTTTTATATGTTTTCAATTTTTTAAATATTTTTCTTTTATTTTTAGATTGCACATCATCCTCTACAAATCTAATAGTCTACAAGGGTCGGTCGACCCTGATCCATGGCGTGACCATCCTCCACTTCACCTAAGTTCTTGTATCTTGGGCAACCCGGTCCAATTCAGATTGGGCCTTTTCCTAGTCTAAACAGATTTTCACCAAGCCTTTAGTTGGAGAAGGTGATTATGACTACTCCTAAAATTCATAATTCTCTTATCCCTCGAAGGATGAGTGTGCCGACGATAGTAATATTAGATGAAAGGTCTTTATAGGTTACGGGGTGTTGGGAATATTGATGACCTTTTTAATTTGAGAAGAGATACTAAAGTGTGTAGTTAGTCTCCCGATCTTAGACGATTGACTTGGCTATGAAGACCTTCTTCTGACGCATGTTGAGGTACGTGATATGGATGTCACACGTTATTTGTAGGTCCTAGAGATTTTTGGAGTCTAAATATTGTGTAAGGATTTGTCATCATTTCCACCATTGACGATCTACAAAGAATTGTGATGTTTACGTGTTTTTAACCAACTCTTGCATGTCCTTGACTAACACGTGGATTCTAAGCTTAAGGCTAAGTGTCTTTGGGTGATGCGAGCATTGATTACTTTCGATTGATCAGGTGTAATCGTGACTGTTGGATTTAACAGTGATTTTTTTGTTGGTGTGGCACATTCATATTGGTTTGTTAACGACTCTTTTGATCCAAAACATTTCAATCTTTCAAATCTGGAATCATTTGTGACTCTTTATTCAAATAAAAACGTATTTGTAAAAGGTGGTCAAATAGTTTATTCATGTTTTCTCCAATCTTCTATCTAAGCTCCAAATTGCTTCTTTGTAATCTTGTCTAACTCAATTGTTATTTCTCTACAACCTTCATTGTTTCTTAATTACAAACCTTCACTACCGCTCAACTGCATCCTTCATTGTTGTTCTAGTATGATCTTCTCAATACAAGTAAGTTCATATTTAGTTTATTCTTTATCATGACATATTAGTTATGTTTCTTCAATGCTTGTTCTTTATGGTACTTGAAATTCTGGTACTAATAGGATAAATGTCGTATACGATGTCACAAAATCAGAATGTCGAATGTGATGTTAAGACGTTGTTACAAAAAAATTAATAATAAATAATTTAAACAAAATTGCAGGAAGTAAATAATGCAAGGAAGTTGTTAACCCAGTTCGGTGCAACGTAGGGCTACCAAGTCAGGAAGGAAATTCACTATAATAGTATTAGTTTGAAACTCTTATGTAAATAACCTCCGGTTTACAATCTTTGCACCTAATCACTACCCGTGCAATTTCTATCTAAGACACTCTTAGATAAGAGATCCATCTCACTCCCCCTCAATCACGCAACAATGATAATAAAACAAACAATCAAAGAAGAAGACACACTTCAAGAAATAGAATGCACTCTTACTTAAAAGCTTATGAGTGATTCATAATTAAAAATCAACTAAAACAGTCCAGCCCTAGTATCAAGGTGATACAAGAGTGGCTCACAAACAACAACGAACAAAGAAAAACCTAAAGAACTCTCACAAAAATACGGCTTGAAGGTGAGAAAATACTTAGAAGGGGGGGGTTGAATAAGTATGACAGAAAATAATCAAAGATAAAAACACAAGTATTTTTATCCTGGTTCGTTGAACTCAACTACTCCAGTCCACCCTTTTCAAGAGTGATTTGCCTTTCTCAACAAGGACTTAATCCACTATTCAAATCAACTGATTACAAATAGCACACCTAAGAACAACTGTTCTTAGTCTTCTTAAGAGCTACTGATCTAACCTAGATCCTCTTAAGGAAAACTTTCTTTACAAATTAATGTAATACAATGAAAGAGTAAGAATTGCTTCTATGAAAGCTATAAACACAACTGTGTTATTTCTCTAAGTTTAGAACAATGTATGAACAGTGAAGAATATGAAAGCTTTTAGCGTGAGAGAGTTCTTGTCAATATTGTTGTAAATCGGCACTTGAAGAATGAGCTATGATGTCCTTTATATAGCCACTTGAATATTGGAGAGAATATTTTACCGTTAGAGAAAATATTTCCAATATCAAAATAGTACTGTCCTTTGTACTATTACAGCAGAGAGACGGCGCACAAAATGTGGGTGTAGCAATTGTCTGCTGAGCTGTGATTTAACTATATCAGGAATGTACCAGAGGAATAATCTTCTTTGCAGAGAATTTTGTCTATCCCAATTAAGGAAAGATTTGCTGGCATATTCCAACGGATATATTAAAATATTCTTCTTCAAATAATTCAGATCAACAATCAATATCAGAGTCTTCAGTCTTCAGAACCTTCTGGAAACTTCAGAGCCTAATATGTTCTTCAGATGTTGATGAATCAGAGTCTGGTGCAGCTGTGTGCTTGAAGCGTAACATGCTCTTAGATCAGAGTCTTCACTCAGATCAGAGTCTTCTCTCATTCAGAGTCTCTTCACTCAGAGTCTTCTCTTATTCAGATTCTTGATAATACATGCAGCGTGTTGTATCTTCAGAATCTTGATAACTAAGCTCTTATACTTCAGATTCTTCTAATCTTCAGATGCTCTTGAGCCATTCAGAATTCATTGTTCACATCAAATTTGCTCTTTAAGATTAAAATCTTTTGTGCCTGTAGAAAACAGTTTAGAACAAATTTAGAGAGTATAATTCTTGTATACAAATTATCATTAATGTTATCATCAAAACATAGAGATATTACTGAGACACAATCTGTGCTCTTACAATCTCCCCCTTTTTGATGATGACAAAACATGAGCAATTTGTTCAATAAAAATGAATTAAAATTACTCCCCCTGAGATTAACAATCTCCCCCTGAAATGAATACTCTAATGGAATTAGATACTTCCCTTTCTGGTTGAGTATATTTCAGATTCAGAGCCTGATTTCATTTCAGATTCAGAGCCTGATTGCATTTTGGGTTCAGAGCCTGATTAACATCCTGATTGAAGCCTGGTTGACAAATCCTGGTTGATATATGTTTGACTTCTAGAGTCAAAGCTTGATGCCAAAGCTTGATGCCATATTAAAGCTTGATGCCAGATGAACAACTTCAGAACACTTGGTTGTTTATCTTGCCATTTCCTGTCTTGAGTTATCTTTCAGATCATAGTACTCAAGGTTAGATATCAGAGTCTGGTCTTTAGATATCAGAGTCTGGTTTACTCAGATTTAGCTATTTTTGATCAGGTTCTGAAAAGATAGATCTCAGGAAAAACTTCAATGAAATTTGTCAGAGTCTGGTTAGATAAATTTGTCAGATTCTGATTAGATTCAAAGAATGTTAGTAACATGTCTGACTTAGTTCAGATAATTGCTTATAGATTTGAACAATCGGATTCTATTTTGTTTCTCCCCCTTTTTGTCATAATCAAAAAGATTTTTAAAAGACAGTAAAGATGCAGAAGAAACACATATCCAGATAAGCAAAAGATCATTTTCATTAAGATAACATCCAGATTCAGATAGAAGCAAACAAAACATATCAGAAGACAATCAAAAACAAAACAAAGCATGAAAAACTTGTGCAAAAACATTAAGAAGGTTTGGCAGATGAGGCTTGTTGAGAAGCGATGAGTTGCAGCAGTGCTGTAATCCTCTCTGAATTCTCATCTTGCTTAGCCATCCAAGTTTTCATTTCTTCATTTGTCTTCTTTTGATCAACCATGAAGTCCTTTAATTCCTTGACATCCTTCTGAAGATCTGTAGATACTGAAATAGAAGATTCTGGAACAGTGGATTCTGAAACAATCTGAGTGACATTGGGTGCAGGAATTTCTGGAGGTGGAGGAGCTTCTAGAAGAAGAATAGGAGGAGGGTTTTTCTTAATCCTTTTCTGATAAGCAGCAAACCTTACTTTTGATAATCTAAGACATTGAGTCCTGATTTTCAAAGCCTCCCTATTCAGTCTGTAAAGATATTTCTTCCAGACAGCATTAGCAGCCTCTTTATCCATAGTGGTCATGCACACATCCATAATGTCAGCAAAGTCTGAGACATTATCCTTGTCAAAATTTCTTAACATAGTATAAACACTTGATCCCAATTCTGCTTCATCAGGAATTTTGGGTTGGGTTGGTTGTGTTTGTGGTGTTTGTTTAGAAGGTTGAGGTTGTGGTTGTGGAGATGGATGTTCAGATGTTTGAGTTTCAGATGTTTGTTGGTTAATTTGTGGTTCAGAAGTTTGTTGGTTGGTTAGTTCAGATGATGGTTGTGGTTCAGAAGTTGGTTGTGGTTCAGATGTTGGTTGTGGTTCAGATGTTGGTTGTGGAGTGGATTGGATTTCAAGATGTTGTGGATTGAGAGTTTGAGTGGGGGAATTTTGTGGAGAAGGTGGATGATCAGAGGTGGGAGATTTAAAAAGTTGTTTCCAAACACTCTCAGTACGAGGTTGTTTGAGATCATTCAAGCATTCATTAATGAAACCAGATGATTCATCATCAGATGATGTATCAGATTGGTTAGATTTTTCAGAAGTTGAAGATAAAATGATAGAACGGTTTAAGGGTGTGATATCTAAAATCTCATTAGGATCAATGGGATTTTCAGGTTGGTCAGAGTGTTCAGGGTGAACATCCTCTGGAATTGTAGATTCTGGGATGGGGTTTTGAGGTTGTGGTGTTGTTTGTTGAGTTTGTTTGGATTGTGGTGTTTGAATGATTGTTGGTTGTGGTGTATGAGTCTCAGATGGTCTAGATCTTTTAAATATGAGGGG